GGAACTCTGGGTTCAGCCCTGAAAAGCCTCGGAGCATCGGATCGTGACTTTTCCCCCTGAAAGCTCCTGTGTGCTTTGTATAGCATAACAATGGAATGTTTAGCGGCTGTTGCTCCCCACTGTGTGGATAAACAGAGGAGCTTGTCATGGAGTTTAAGGCCAGAAGGGACCACAAGGTCATCTAACCTGACCTCCTGCACATCACAGACCACTAACCACCCCCCCCCCCAGCCACCCCCATACCATGCTCCACAACCAGAATTAGAGCAAACTATTACACCCCTCTGGAGAGTAGACTGTTGTGTCCACAGGCTGAGAACAGGATGGACCAAGGTAAACTGATGCCAGAGGCCCCCACAAAGCTCGGTCTCCAGGATTTCAATCAGGAACCTTTTACCAGCACTAAATAGTTTTTGTTGTTTGTTTTTTTGGGGGGACGGGGGGAGTGTTGTTTTTAAACAAAGGTGTTTTTTTTTAATACCTGTTTGCATGTACCATCATTTATAGATGAGAACCAGATCGCCCGGGAGAGAATAAGCCACCTGCTGGAATTATCAAGATGTCTAAAATAATATGCATCTTATGGAGATCGCTTGAAAAAAAAAAAAACTATCAACAAAGCGTGAGTCACCCACAGAGGTGTTTGTCGCTCGCAACTGGTTCTGCTGCCTTCCACCTGACTCTCATATCCTTTTCCCAATTATAAAAATCTCCAGAGATTTGCCAGAGACATGATTTTCATCACTATTAGCTAAATCCAATGAAAATGTCAACCCAGAGTATCCCTTTGTCTAATCAGCGGGCAGTTTAATGCTTCAGAAGTGGAGTGGGGGGGGGAGAGAAAAATCAAACCAGAAATCTGCTCAGACCCGTTGGCGTGGCAGAAGGAATGCTCCCTTTTTAACCTCTTTGATTGCTTTCAATTTGAAAAGCAGAGTCAACGTCTTAAAGTTACAAGATATAATTATGCAGAGAACAGAACGAATCGAGCTGCTGGGGAGAGGTTATCCAAAGCGTTGCTTGATCGATATTACTTATCAATAACACATCAGGCCAAAGAGGGGAGCTGGCTCTGGCATGCAGAAGAGCCTGATGCCAGATCTCCCCTGTTACCTTGTGTTTCATTAGGAACGCACAGGATCTGGCAGGGGCTGGTAATTAGATACAGAGTGTAGGACTGCTCAAGAATTCTCTGTAGATTCAACACAGATTATCTCCATAACGCAATTCATTGATCAAAGGTGTATTCTTAGACTCCACAGTTAATTACAATCCCTGCTGATGGATGAACAGCAAAGGCATCTATGTGAAAACGCACGAGCGGCAGAGGAACAAGCGAGACACTTGTAAACGAAGACAAAGAGGGCCATGGAAGGATGTCGGAGCTTGCAAGGGAGTTTTGCCCTGCAGATGGAGGACTGGGCACCCTCCGTATGTACCTGGCTCTTTGGCTGATCCTTGAGCAGCTCCTGTAACAATTCTGTGCCTCAGACTCTCCAAGGGGAAGAACAAGCAGGAGGAAGCAAGGTCTAGCGAACAGGCCTGTGGATCTGGGAGTCAGGAGACCTGGCTTCTAATCCTGGCTCTGCCATTGTCCAGGCTGTGTGGCCTCGGGTACGTCACTGCCCTTCTCTGTGCTTCCCACCCTTTGTTTGTTGCCTATTTAGACTGTAATAGGTGCTATGGCATTATAAATCATAACACTTCCTTACCTCCCTGGAGTGCGGGGAGGGCTAACTACCTAACGTCTGGGAAGCGATTTCAAGTTCCTCACTGAAGACTGCCAAGTGTTCTGCTCATTATCGTTATTATCCACCCACAAACATTCACGGGACTAGTCATGTCACCTCTGCCCCTTTCCCGGGGGAACCCTGCGAATTAAGCCTTCTCCTATCCCTCTCTCCACTTTTCTGAACAACAGAGACATGGGCCAGAGCAGAGATCCAGTACTTTAATCTAAGGTCGAGAGTCCTACTCTACCAGCCCCTAACCCGTCCCCCTGCCCTCCAGCCTTCCAGAGATCCTCTCACCCAACACTGATGGAAGAGTAACCTCCTGCTGCCACTGGTAGAGCCACTGGACTGATTTCACCACCAGCGTCAGCAGGTGCCACTGGTCTGAGGTCAAATGGAGAGGCCCCCTCTTACAGCAAGCACATTGCCTCTGCCTGCCAGCCCAGCCCATGCTGCCCTGGAGATCCCAGCCAATGGCTTAGCGCGCTTTGTGGCGTCTCTGAGCAGGTCAATCCCTGCTCTGCAGAAATTGGGATCTCCATGGCCAAGCTGCAGGCAGTGTCAGTAGATCAGAGGAGACCTGGACAGCTTCCAAGGCAGCTCCATCCATGAACAGCGGGGAGGGGGAAATAGCTCAGTGGTTTGAGCATTGGCCTGCTAAACCCAGGGTTGAGAGTTTAATCCTTGAGGGGGCCACTTAGGGATCTGGGGCAAAATCAGTACTTGGTCCTGCTAGTGAAGGCAGGGGGCTGGACTCAATGACCTTTCAGGGTCCCTTCCAGTTCTATGAGATAAGTGTATCTCCATATATTTTATTTAACTTGGATGATTATGCATGAAAGACATGGGGCCACTTTTGAAAACATAGGAAAGGCTTCTTTGAAAGGATGCGGTTTGTTCTGCACAGTGCTCACCACCAGCAGCTGAGCATGGACATGACCAAAGCCTTTAAATGCCTCAGAGTGTCACGTTTACCCTCCTTCTCCTGCAAGTGACGTCCCCAAAGAGCAAAACGGGTTCCATGGAAAGCTTTGGAAAATGTCGTTTAGGCAGAATTCTCATCTGGTGCAATCTTTTTCTCTCTCTCTAGTCGTCTTGTTGCTTATCCAGCGATGGACGAGACCCAGAAGCACCAATGCAATGTTCTTGTAGCTCAGACCTATTGCACGTTGCGTGAGAACTAGACCGTGGTCTTTAAAAGGCTCATCTGCTGTTTATTCCTGACCTGAAGTCATCTAGGCTGAATTCCAGGGACCTAAAGTTATTACCACTGAATTCCTAAGGGGGGAGATATCTCCTCTTTAGGAGTGATCAGAAGGAACGCATACATCTGAAACGACTCCTTATTACACAGCGTTTGAAGATGGGATCACTGAATGGGCTTTGATTAAAGTTGAATCCATCTCTGAGCCCCATGAGAAACTCTGTACGTTGCTAAGTTTTGATAAGGATCTCCATGCTGTAGCTCCCAAGGCTCCACTGGCTCAAGAGGTCTCCAATTAAAACAGTTCCTTCCCACCCAGAAAAACAACCAGAGGGGAAAAAGAAATGGAACACAGAACCCAAACTTACAAAAGAGAAACCAGCCTGCTATTTTCCCAGACAACTCAATTCCATTTTCTAAACAAGGTGATTAACCAACAAATCTTTAAAATCTTCATCTCACATGAGTTTTGAACCCTTGGCCACAACAGCCTGTCTGACAATGTCTGGTTGGAGGAAGAAAACTGGCCTCCATCTGCCCCCAAAGTGGGTTTTATGTTGGTCAGGAATGGTGGGATATTACGTGTACATGTCTCAGATACCACAGTGACCCATGACTCTCAGCCAGCCAGTAAAACAGAAGGTTGATTCGACGACAGGAACACAGTCCAAAACAGAGCTTGCAGGTACAGGACACAGGACCCCTCAGTCAGGTCCATCCTGGGGGGTTGGGAGCCCAGGCCCCGGTCCTGGGCCTCCCTCCATTTCCCCAGCCAGCTCCAAACTGAAACCACCTCCAGCCGTCTCCCCCCAGCCACACACCCCGCCTCCTCCTCCAGCCTTTGTCCAGTTTCCCGGGCAGAAGGTGTCACCTGGCCCCATCCCCCTCCTGGGCTCAGGTTCCGTGCTCAAGTATCATCCCTCAAGTGAAGTCACACCCTGATATCCCACCACCATCCAGCACCAATGCAGACAGTACTGAGTGGAGTATGAAGGCCTGAATTATATGAGAGACCGAGAGATCCTGGTTGAATGGAACAACTTGGATCCACGATAAGGTGTCACGAAGTTATCACGGAAATGGCATACAAAACAGAGAAATCAACCCAGCAGACTCTATTACACAGAAGAGGCTGTATTTGCTTCCCCCGATCCCGCCCCCATCCTCTTTTCAGTTCTGAGAGAGGGAGGCTTCCATTCCTTCCAGTCAAGAAGCATGCACCAAACTGGAACGCGACCCCTCCAACAAACAGGTCTACAAAACACTGCACTAGAGGTAACCCTGCAGGCCTGGGAAAAAGTCATGGTTCTAACTGCCCTTCTCTCCGACAGAGCCAGCCACAGTCCCAGAACCAACAGGGTGTGAAGCAGTGCAGGGATCAGACCTATCTGGACCCTTTCACTCTCACCTCCGGGAAGTGGCACGAAATAGCCCCGCATTGGTTTGCCCCGGTGTCCTGGTCACACAGTGACCCCTGTGCAGCCCCTGTTCAGCTGCCCACGCAGATTACTCATTCATGCAGCACAAACAACCCTAATGAGGGAGGGTGCATAGAGACTTGGGCTGGGCCAGTCAAAGGAACCTAAGTGTGGGATTTGGGGGTGACACCTTGGCATCTTTGAAAATCCCAAACTAAGGATGCATCGATGCCCGATACCCCCACCGCCCCACTGAACCTTCTATGGCTCAATGCACAGAAAACACACAGGGCAGCTCCAGGGGTTTTAGGGTGCCCAGGACCAGAAACGGCAGCCGTGACTAGCTTCTTAGGTAAAAACACCACCCCGCCTCAGAATTTTGCCCATAGAGTTCAACACACGAATAAGCTGTACAAGTCAGTGCAGCACTTGTAAGTAACGGATGCAAAAATACCCTATTATTATAAATATAGTCATTTTTAAATTGTCCACGGCCCCCCTAGAAAGAGTCCAACTATCCCACAATTGATGTCATACCCACAGGGAGAATACCCTCAGCAGCCTTTCATGGCAGCTTCACTATTTATAAGAAAGAATCCTCGGCTCAGTTTTACACAGCCGTACAAACATCCTTTTGTGCCTTACCTTTTAAGACGCTAAGAATAGCGTCGTCACTGTAGCGTTTCCGTGCTGCGTTGGTCGCTACGCAGCGATAGCCCCCAGCGTCGCTTTCCCGCACATCTATGATTTGGAGGATGCCATTGGGAAGAGTTATAAACCTGAATGAGTAAAATAAAGAGCATGAGATTTGCTTTTCACAGCTAACACGATTCATACCCTGGCCGCTGGAATGCAGCTATTTTCATTCCTTCTTTATACTTGAGAGTGTATTATGTGCACATCACCAAAGCCTTGGCAGAGAAGAGTGGGCAAGAAACTCTTTAACCTCCCAATAGGAGAGTTTTAAATAAAGCAAAATGTACAACCCATTAATAGCAATGGAGTCAACGCAGCAATAAAACTGCGGCCTTCTTCAGACTAAGCCTACAGGTCTCTGCTGCAGAAAACATTCTATATTAAAAACTATATGCGCGCACACACACACACACACACACACACACGATGAGTGTGTGTCTGCATATGTAGGTAGATAGGTAGATAGACAGTAGGAAGAATGCCATCTATTAACCTATAAGGATATGTATATAACTCACAACCCTGGGTTTAGCAGGCCAATGCTCAAACCACTGAGCTATCCCCTACCCGCAAACAACCAGGGACATAATAGCTATTGAGAAGGGAGCTGAAGAGTCTGTTTCCCCTGCCATCTGACACACACACACACGTAGGAGTAAAAGACAAATATATTTGGCTGTGCATGCAGACAGGTGACAGAATTAATTTGCCTATCGCCTACCAGCCACTCTGCTCTTCCCAGTTCAGAAACCCCCTATATTTGCCTTTGTTTGAACAAAGTGTCAGACCCGCTAAGCACCTTCCCCCTCCAAACAGGATTTCAGGGAGTTGCCCTAGAATGAGGATCCAGAAACGCTTGTTTTAAATGAACTCTTCATTAAATGATTTTCTGATGTCTCAAAGCAGGAAGCTGCATTTTCTGCATGGAAGCTAAATGCATGGGACCATGCATCAAACATGTACAAATAATTAGATACCGATAATGAACTACCGCCTCGCGACAGCTCCAAAAATAAAAAGAAGTTTACCCTGGAAGCCATGCTCTTTTGATCAGCAGACGTTTGTAATCGAACGCTGGGTGAGGAGAAAGGGAGAGACAGACTAAGCAATGCCTATCGCATACTGGCTTTAACAACTCCACAGGGGAGTACGTGCTGGTGCTTAGAGAGAGGGACTGGGCATCAGGGATTTTCTTCCCAGTTATGCCACTGATTCATTAGCTGGCCTCAGGCATGTAATTTTATCTTTCCGTGCCTCAGTTTCTCCCTTCAGTAAAATGCAGTGGTTCTCAACCTTTCCAGACTTATTGTAACCCTTCCAGAAGTCTGATTTGTCTTGCGTACCCCGAAGTTACACCTCACTTAAAAACTACTTGCTTACAAAACCAGACATAACAATACAAAAGTGTCACGGCTCACTGTTACTGAAACATTGCTGACGTTCTCATTTTTACCATAGAATTATAAAATAAATCAATTGGAATATAAATAATGTATTTACATTTCAGTGTAAGTAGATAGAGCAGTCATTGTCTGTATGGAATTTTAATTTGTACTGACTTCGCTAGTGCTTTTTATGTAGCCTATTGTAAAACTAGGCAAATATCTAGATGAGTTGATGTACCCCCTGGAAGACCTCTGCGTGCCCCTGATTGAGAACCACTGCTATAAAAGACTTCCCTACCTCACTCTAGGGTTGCCAGGTGTCTGGTTTTCGACTCTGCTAAAGCCACTCTGAATTTACAATGGGGCTGGTTTGCTTACCTGCAGCGTCCGCAGGTTCGGCCAATCGCGGCTCCCACTGGCCGCGGTTCGCTGCTCCAGGCCAATGGGGGCTGCAGGAGGTGGCATGGGCCAAGGGATGGGGACGGCGAACCGCGGCCAATGGGAGCCGCGATCGGCCGAACTTGCAGACGCTGCAGGTAAACAAACCGGCCCGGCCCACCAGGGTGCTTACCCTGGCGAGCCGCGTGCCAAAGGCTGCCGACCCCTGCACTAGACCACGCCTGGCAACTACGCAAAGAACGGTTACGGCCACCGACCAACCAGGCTACGGTGGCTGACTATTGATGGATCCGTTGCTTTGTCATTAAAAACCCAGCTTATACGGTATTATACTGAATCCTACACCTGATTAGCAATTAGCACAAAGAACAAGCTGGCTGTCAGGTTCTTCATTTTCTGCCTGGATTCCTACCCGGCAGCTTCTTTGTTTTTTAATATAAGGCCCAAGCCTACATGAGCCTTTTTAATTATAGATGAGACCCAGTTTTAATTGAAGAACGCTATAAACAGAGCTGCAGAGCTTTGAGAGGCAGCTCTGGGTTACCAGCCTTCATCGCGAAGAGGACGCGACAAGCACGAAGGCAGGTGTCATGGTCCTGTTGCTCCACTCCAGAAAGTCCTGATGGGAAACTCAGCTGTTTGTAGCACCACGCGTGGCACAGGTTCTCTGTTCACTGAGCCAGCTGGATCTTCAGGCATCAGCTCCCCCCCTCTTGTGTACGCTGGGGAATTCGAAGAGAGAGCATTTTAAGGCAGCTCAGACAGGGAAGTGATGCTGTCACCACGGGGCCCATCCTGCAGACCTTATTGACAGAAGTAATCTTGCTGGAGCCAGTGTGTCCACTCACGTGAGTCAGGTCTGCAGGACCAGGCCACGTGTGCCCTTGACGGGACAGCGTTATCCAGAGAGCCACCGTGGGGGCTCCGGGGCCGAACGCAGCAGCACTAAGCCAAACATTTCTCTCTCTATCTCTGCCGAGAAAGCTTCCAGTGCGATGAGGTTTATTTTTATCGCGCATCTGCTCTGAGTGTGCGTAATTACTATCGACATATTTCAAACACCAGGAAAGGCATCTACCGGTTCCAAATATAGAAGTCAAACACACTTCCAAAAGCATATGGCTGAGATCCATTACGTAATCGCTTTCTGCTCTGCGATGCTAGAGCCGCCTGCTGAGATGGAAAATCCAGTTTACAAAAACAACCAACCAACGTCCTCAGAGGGAGTTTAACACAATTAGCTCTCACGGCCGGTTTTTGATAGCATGCCCAGTGTGCTCGGTGCTGTGCTACAAACTAAACACGGGCTCCGAAAAGCTCACAATCTAAGGGCCTGTCTACAATGACAGGCTATGTCAGAGGCTAGCTGCTCACATACGTATCCAGGGCCCCCAGGCAGCCCATGCTACAGAACCTTTCACTGCTGTTATCTGCGCTGGTTAGATCAAAGCTAGCTCAGGTATGTCTACACATGCTGCAGTCACACCTCTGATTGCAGTGTAGACATATCTAAGAGGCACACTGACCGGAGGAGGGGTACCACATACAGGTAAACATGATGATCCATTGCAATGTCTGAGCCATCTATCTGTGTGTATGTGTTATGTAGACTATCCTCAATTACTCTCAGCCTTTAGGAGTCCTAACCGCACGAAGGGGAAGGGGTAATTGGGGAGAGTTACCATGTCTTAGCATAAAGAAAAACCCCAAGGTCACCAGCTATCCAATATGTTTAACACAATCATTTTTGAGAGCCCTAAAGTACAGAGACGGCTTCAAAGTACAGCCACTATAGGGACTGTATTTCCAACCCAAATGCAAGGTATGTGACGTATGGCTCTCCCAAGGAAAGCACGGGCACACAAGATAAAGACGTCTTTACACTTGATCTTTCCCAACAGATCTCAAAGCTTCCAGCTATTTATGCTCACCACAGTCATGCTCGTCAACTAGAGACATCAAAAGAATTTGGAGTCGGTACCGTATATACTTGTTCATAAGCCGAATATTTTTGGTTTAAAATGACACATCAAAGAGCGGGGGTCGGCTTAATAAACGGGTCTACACCAAAATTTGATGATTTTAAACTCCATGGGATCATTGAATTGAATATCTAACACACTATCATTTTGTTTACCTGGAGCGCCTGCAGGCATGGAGCCCCTCAGCTCCCTGTGGCCGCGGTTTGCCGTTCCCAGCCAATGGGAGCTACGGGAGCCACTTCCTGCAGACGCGCCAGGTAAACAAAACGTCCCGACCCGCCAGCGGCTTACCCTGACAGGCCGGGAGCCAAAGTTTTCCAACCCCTGAAATATAGGGTTGGCTTATGAAAGGATCATACAGATTTTGCTATTTTTACCTATCCATTTTGGGGGGTCGGCTTATAAACGAATGGGCTAATGAATAGGTATATACGGTACAGGTCTGTCACATCTTACGCACATTTAACATGCGCGATTTCAGCTTTACGCGGCCGGCAAAAACAAAAAACAAAAAAAAAGAGAAAAATAACAATTTTAATACTGTACCTGTAGTGCGGGCGATTCCGCCCGCCATTCAACTCAGTGTAATTTTGACTATACGCGGTTTTCGCTTTACGCGCTAACCACGGAACGGAACCCCCGCGTAAGATGAGACAGACCTGTATTTATTTCCCACTGCAATGTAGCAAAGTTTGCCTAATGATTCAGAATTTTAGGGAGACTCTGGCATTATCCTTTTTTTAGTACACAAAGAGCAGACGTAACCTTTCTGTCCAAATGACCTTAATTGCAGGTGAGGATAAAAACAAAAAACAAAAGTAAAGTCTCCATAAAAACAGAGAACATACTGCCAGTGAACTCGTGGCCCCACTGAAATCAATCCGAGTTTTGCCACCAACTTCCTCTAGGGTGACCAGGTGTCTTGTTAAAAGTCCGGTCGGCGGTACTGCGGAGCTAAGGCAGGCTAGTCTCTACCTGTCCTGGCTCCACACTGCACCCCGGAAGCAGCCAGCAGGTCCGGCTCCTAGGCGGGGGGGCCATGGGGCTCCGCACATTGCCCCCGCCCCAAGCATCGGTTCTGCACTCCCACTGGCCGGGAACCTTTTATTAGTTGATAAATTCTATCTCTACAAGTAGCTTTGCGTGTGAGGTGACTCTCGAAATATTTTGTTCGAAGACAAAAACAAAAAAAAGTCTCTCCTTCTTTGAAAAGTTGCCGACCCCTGACCTAGAGTTTTCTTCAGCCCGTCATACATGACTTTGAGGTTTCCTGTGTCTGAGGCTGTCTGTATCTCTTCACAGAGCTTGATCCAGTAATGTGTTCTTAATGTTGATGAGAGGTAATAGTTCTGCTTCATTTTCTTCAAACTGGTCCTTTTTGGATGATCTCTTTCCCCTAAAGCTGTTTCATGGATTATTGTTCTTAAATCTTCCCAAAATTCCTCTGCCTTCTCTGGTAATGGCTTCCCTTGCATGCTAAATTCAAAATCCTGGCATTTCCTCTGCTTTTTGGTGTTAATAGCATTGATCTTGAGCTTGCTCCTACATTTTGCTCTATGTAGTTTCTTGGCTGTAATCTTCACTTTGCCAAAAGAAGGTGTGTCTGGCTTCTTGGACAGAACCAGCATCTGCAAGTCTTGTTTCCTGGAGTGCTGCAATGTCAACATTGAGTTTGAACAGCTCACGGTCTATCAAAGCTGACTTCCATATGCTGCTTGTGTATTGTAGGTCATCATCATCTGTCAGACGGGGCACAAATGGACGCATTTCCAAAGGCCCAGTCGGATGCCTCCACAAAGGTGAGCTGCAAAAATCAGTGGCCAGCTTAAGGCTTGCCTGGAATCTGGTATTGCAGAGAGATTCTGGGTTAATGCTGCCATTGGGTCCTGACACCCATCTGTGTCAGGTAAGCGTGCCCAGCATTCTGAGACCCCTAGGCACGAGGGGTATGGCTGATGGACGGAGCAAATGTTCTGTGGCCAGCACTTCCTTGGGCACACTTAATTCTTTCAAAAGCCGATTGTATAAAGTCAACAACAGAAAGCAAATCTCCCTGAAATAGTATATTAGCTAAACATGATTTAAAAGCAAGATCTGAAGCCAATGATTATGTCTGGCCGTTACAAGGAAAGCAATTTTCAAGCCGCCTATGTTGAAAGCAATCTCCATGCAAGTAATTTCGCAACATCCATCGAGCTGTCATATTAAAAAGCCATTGCCCTATCTATGGCATGCTTCCCTCCCCACTCCCCCCACACCTTTTCTTTTTTTTTAAAAAACACTTATTTTTCTTCTCATACAAAGCAAAAACCTCCCACAAGCTTCAGATCGCCGCATGACAGCCTCAAGGATACAAACAGCTATTCTTACAGAAACAGCCTTTGTTCCCAAATCATTTCTGAATCTCGTTGGGTCTCTTTTTTTAATCCCTTTTTCCCCCTGCTCATTGCGTGGGTTAACTTTCCTCTCTGGGGGAATGACTCTCCTCTTTCCTCTCTGGGGGAATGACTCTTTCCGCAGAAAATGAAACCTACCGAACTTTAAGGGACTAAAGGACAATGTCGTCATTAGATCCAGAGAGAGCTATGAAGTCTGCAGATCAGGCACTAGCCCCGGGGTCCTCCTCTCCTTCCCACACCACACACACTTTGATTAAGACAAAGGAGAAGGGCAGAAGGAATTTTTTTTTTTTAATTTTTGTATGTATTTTGCTAACAGAAAGTCCACGTTCTGCCCGGATAGTCCCAGAGGATCCATTAACAGAACCTTTAAGCCCTTGTTAAACCTCTGAGGGAAACAGGTTGAGAAAGAGAATTTGGAAATGTCTTCAGAACCAAACTTTGCATTCAGCTCCATCTGTGAAACCCCACATCCCACGCTGCACAGCTTAGTGGCAGCCACGCAGTCTCAGTTGGCCATGGATTTATTACAAACCACCACCTTCGGCACCAACCCTGCAAAGACACACACGCTTAACTCTACACATGGCAAGTAGGCAGTCAATGGGGCTAGTCACCATGCAGCAAGTTAAGCACGTCCTTAAATCTTTGCAGGACCAAAAACTTGACAAAATATCAAATATCTGCATTTCCTTGACACTCTTTATGATATTTGTCTCCTTTGTTATTTCTCTCCATTGCCAGAGTGTCCAAGTCCCAGCCAATCATTAACCACACTGAATGGGCAAAAGGATACTTACAAACGGTCAAGAGTTGGTTTGCTACTGCACACAGCCCTTGGATGAATAGACACTCAATAGTCCTGTTTGACACTTTTGGTTATTAGTCAATTTCACTTCCATGAAATTATCCTTTGCAACTTATACAGTAGCTCTAATGCGGCAAATACTGCAGGGGAAGGGCATATTCAGGGGGAGGGCAGTTTCTTTTCTTTTTTCAAAGTTTTATGGATACATTTCTGTTGGTCCTGAGAACATTTGTCCTTACAAAGTCTAAATTTTAGCTCCAAAACTGCCCTGACACCACCCCTTAAATTCCAGATTTTTATAAAAGACACTCATCTCTTAATTTTATTATTATTAACCCAAGAAAAACACTGGCCACTCACCTGGGCTCTTCAGGAACAGCCACTTGATCCTTCTCCCAGGTGATGACAGGGGAGGGCAATCCTTCGATCCGACACTCAAATCGGGCCATACCATTTTCTTCCACTGTCTGAGACTCTGGCTGTTGAAAAAAACGTGATAAACCTGGAAAAAAGAAGAGAGTTAATGCCTTGACATTTGTGCTCTGAGAAACAAACGCATTTTCAGTCGTTTGAGAAGCTATATCAGAAGAGAAGAGAATTCATGTTTTCTAACACACATGAATCTATAATAACGCAATGTACAAGCTAGGAAGACTCCTATTATGTGGTAAAACTTGGGACTACAAAATGACCAGGCTGGACAAGAGAAATGCAATTCCTCGCTGTCCTCCAACCCACTAGCTGGCATGCCCTTAACAAGCCTGGGTGCATTACCAGAGGCATCTGAACATGCAAATTGGCCTCCTGCCTCATTTTTGCTGAAATGTAACCGAATGGCAGAAGCAGCAGGTCATTTGTCTGTCTGCCCAACTGCTTTGCTAAATGGCCCTTCAGCTTCCAGTCATCCCGTTAGAAGTGGGGAGAACGATACTTTCTTGACGGACAACCAAATCGGAGACCCAGCTTGTTATTGGAGGAGCCACAAAATTTGTGCAGAGGAGGGTGAATTTCACCCGCTCCGCTCTGCCCAGCACAAGGGTTACATAGACGAGTGTAAAGCAGGAGGACCCACTTGTGCATTAATTGATGTTACACTGGCACCTGGAGGCCACACCCAAGGTCAGGCCCCGCTGGGCTAGGCACTGCACCGACACACTCTGCCCCGAAGAGTTTATAAGCAAAGGGAGTATTATTAGAGCCATTGTACAGATGGAAAGCTGAGGCACTGAAAGGTGAAGGGACTGGCCCAAGGTCACACTGGGGGTGCGGCAGAGCCAGGAGCTGAAACCTGCCCGCTGAGCGCCAATCCAGTGCATTACCCACAAGGCCGTTCTGCCTCTCAGCAAGGAGCTGATTTGCTGCGAGGCCTGCTTTAGCAGGAGTGAGGCCACAGAGGAGCGCCTGTACCTAAATGCCTTGTTACAATGAAGAGTGATGTGCTGCCCTCCTAAAACACACCCAACCCCGGCTCCCTTTGTCACGTTTTGCTCCTTAGAGTAAGGGGCTTGAGACCTGCTTCTGCTCTTGTTTCTACCCTCTTTCACCCATGGTTAGTGTCCATTCAGACCTGCCCTGGTGCCCGATCCTTCTCCCACTAAAGTGCATGGCAAAACTCCCACTGAGTTCAGTGGCGCAAGATCAGTGCCCCGGATCACACCTATTTGCTGCTCACTGTCCCGCATCGCACAAGGAACTGCAGGATCAAGAACACAGAAATGAGCACTGGTATATAAATTTGGCCAGGCTATTAAATAATGCACCACTAAAATGTCTTAGTCACACAATGGACTTTTGAACACAACACACCGGCATCCTTAATAGGCTGTGGAAGACTTTTATTCTCTTCAACCAGAAGAGTTAGAATTTGTTTTAAACGCATCTCCATTAAACTGCCTAGGACATTAAACCGATCCTGCCTTACAAATGCTTTGTGCCATCCTAGAACACAAATGATTGTAGCACCATAATGCACAGCTAAGGTCTAAGCTAGAAAATATGGAACTCTGTTGCTATGCCAAGCATAAAATTGTACTCGGCAGGCTCAACTTTTATCTGCCAAGAGTGATCCTTTAACATTAGTGTGAAATTATTTGTTAGGCTGCTTTATTACTCTCCTCAAAAACAAGAATTCTATTGGTTTGTAGTTTACAACTTTTTACAAAAATAAGACAATTTTTGTGTTTCTGATCCTGGAACCAGTTTAAAGTGTGGTATGGTTTTTAGTTTACTACATTTTTTAGACCATATTCATGCTAAAAATGAAAGGTCCAAAGGGCAAAATGTGTGTATTGCATAAGTGGGCCTTTTTAAATATTGGGTTTCACCTGTTTTCGTGTGCAAATATCATTAATTTTTTAAACAGACAATCTGACGCACATGCAGGAGAGCTCACTCCCCCTTGGAGCGCCCCCTTGTGTCAGTGTGGGATGTTGCCGCTATCTTCCCTGCAGGCCGCCTGCCTCTGGCCAAGTCACCTAATTTCAGACCCCTCCCTCCTGGGCAGGGCCGTCCCTAGGGCGGGTGCAGGGTCCGGGGCAGAAGTGACGGATTCGTCTCTTCCGGGACCGACCACACCGGCCAATCGCACCGGCCCGCGGGGCCCGGAGCAGTCGCCACAATTCGCCCTACCCCAGGGACGGCTCTGCTCCTGGGACATCACAGACAAACCTGAACAAAACCGAACAATTCTTCTGCCTTCTTGGGCTACTGAAGTCTTCTCTTCTCTGCTTACAAACCCTGTCTCAGGGTTCCCGCCTACAGGTGCCTACTCTGCTCCATGTAAGTTTCCCTCCATTGGAGAGTCCTGCCTTCTCCACAGTCTCTCCCTAGATCTTGCCCCTTTTCTACATGGCCCACCACTGGGACCAATTCTGTTCTGGAGGTCTTCTTTAGTCTGCCGACCCCATAATGCAGGAGGAGAGGAGGAGAGGCGGGAACTCCTAACTCCTCTTTCCTGGGCTTCCCGCCACAACTGAGCTCCCTCAGGGTGTGTCTACACTGCACTTAAAAACCCACAGCTGGCCCATGCCAGCTGACTCGGGCTTAGGTGAAGGGGCTGTTTAATTATGGTGTAAACATTCAGGCGACAGCCTGGGTTCCAGGAACCTGTGAGGTGGCAGGTCCACTTTCAAAGCACCCAGCCCACTCGGACTCTGCTCCTGCAAACCAAGGCTGCAGACCGGGGGTCCTGGCCCCGGCACCTGTGCATTTGCCCTCTGACGTACAATCTACTTTTCCCTGGCAATATGGAGGATGATGGCGCAGCCCAGCTACAGAAGCACTGAGCCCGAGGCCACAATGTTTCTAACAGGACCCACGCAATGCAATGGGATCCAAGCACACTTTAAGGCCCTCCCCTTTGGGCGTTGATTTCTGCTGGCTATGTGGTGAAACAAGAAATCACAAGACAAAGCAAATGCAGTGGGACTTGGCTGGAGAAAGAGCCACGTAAGAACTGTTCCTCTGTGGGGTCGTACCGCCTTTTGCTAAGAGTCCCACTGAATTCAGTACGTACAGTACTCCTCAGGGGATGTCAGAGTTTCAAAATCTGGCCCTGAGGTAGGATCCAGGGTCGAAGCCTGCACAGCACCATTCACCATTTTACCACAAGGCCATTTTTCAGGGCCCCGGGGTCAGGAACTGGTTAAGTCCCCCAGGAATATACTCCAGTGGAAAAATGAATGGTGGTACACTGCAACACTACGGGCATTGAAGGAGCAAGGTGACTGGCATAGAGCGGTGAAAGACATGAATGTATTCAGCATTCTTTAAACCACTCTGTCAGGTTTAGGTGGAAGTTTTCATTCAGCCTTGCAAATCTGTCGTGAAAATTGACCAGCCCAGCCATAAAACCTACTTTCCCTCCCTTCCCAGGATGATGGTTAGAACGAAAAACTTCGTATTTTACTCTCCAGTCGCCAAAGTTACACGCTGCAGGTGAGTGAGTGCCGTTCTGCAAGGCTGCCTTAATGTAAAATGGCAACGCACGCTGCACTTCTATTAATGGCATATTCAAACCAAGCACACGACCCTCCACTGACATTTTACACTCAGCTGGAGCTAAGCCCCCTCTGATCATACTTTTAACCCTGTCTTGAGAGGTGACTGCGGTACAATGACATGCCTCTATCCCACTCTTCTCCCCAGAGGTCACTCTCATCAGTACAGAAGGCTCTGAGCTTGGAGAGGTTCCCTGCCAGAGACATTATGCCCTGGTCAGAAAATGTAGTCTATGCATGGAATTTCAGCCTTCTCAAAATGCCTCTCTGGTCTTTCGTGCTGCATTTTGCCACCAAATTCTGTCTCCGTTTATTTTCTCCCTTTGTTCCTTTTATAATCATTAGTATTTATTTTTGGATGGTGGCATCCAGAGACCTCAGCTGAGACTGGGGCCCCATTGGGACACTGTGGAAACACAACCCCAGCCACAACAGCTTACACTCAAAATAGACAAGACTAGCAAAGAGTGGGAGGGGAAACTGAGGCCTAGAGAGATGAAGTGACTTGCCAGAGGTCACCCAGTAGGCTAGTAGCAGAGCTCGGAATGGAACCCAGATCTCCTGAGCCCTAGCCCGATGCCCTCTCCATGCTACCTGGCTATGTTTTGTAGGATCTGCTCCTGCTTCTCTTGCACACACCTATCTCCCAGCAACTAGAAATGATAGGCAGAGACTTTGACCTTTAGTTTTCTGCTTCCAGGTCAGGTAACATCTGATGACTGTCCTGTGGCCTGTGTAATGAGTCGGTAGTCTCAGTAGAGGTCCCCCAAAACCCAACTGCAATAACTGAAGTGGTAGTAGGCAATCTGTTCCGACACCAAGGAGTAAATGGAGCAAGGAGTGAAACTACCCTCTCATGCTGGAAGTGCTCATTCCAGGATGGGTTAGAAGTAAACTGGCGGGCAAGGAAAGAAACTTGCACAGCCATTCCACAGCCTGCTCTGCAGTGAGGACTTTGCTCTCTGGAGCGGCCAGTTTGGGATCTTTCCTCAACACTTAAAATGTTTTATGACTCTTTTGGGGGGGGAAAAAGTGACTCCAATTCTGCATTAATATCAGTGGACCTGCGATTTAACTACAACTACTATTCCTTTAAGCAACTGGAACATAGGAGAGACAAGCCTACAAGCAAGTTTGTTTCAACTCCTATTGTAAGCTTGTGTGACCCTCCTAACACAATTGCACTACACCCGTAACACAGATTACACATCATGCATATAACGTGGCACTTCGACACCCATTTTCAGCTTCTGCCAGCAGAAACGTGATACACTACAGCATCATTCCTTCCAGACACAGCAAATATGTTCACCCAACAGCTACAATTACTGTAATTTTATAGATCCTCCCTCGCAAAACTATTTAAAGTAAATTAACAGCTTTCACAAATGTCGTGATTAACAGATAGAGAGAGATAACTTTCTGCAGCAAAAACAACACACACCATAGTTTCACTTTGAGGGTATTTAGGGCTCTGAGAAACCTGCAAATCTAATTAATTGAC